CTTGCCTCTAATATCTGAAAATTAGGATCGCATTGCTTGGACGTAGCCATATATTGATTCATAAAGGGCGTATCCCGTATTAAGGTCTTGATCAGACGATTGTGAAATAAATAATTTTTAACAAAAATATTCCGACTTCAAAAAGTAAACTAAAAAGCAAAAAAAAATTTTTTTTGTAGGAATTATACTTGTTTTCACTTAGTTGAATAGAAAAAATATTAATAACCATTTTATAATTTTGAATTCGGTGCCAAGCAAAACAAAAATAGTGTAATCTTTACCTATATAGCTATTGTTAGTTTGATGATTAGGAGGCACCGATCAATATTTTTCTAATACTGTTGCTGTTTGGTATGACTTGGAAGATTCACTTGGCAGAGCAAGCAAGGATAATGGTTTTCGAAAGAGAAGACGACGACAACTTGAGACCGAAAATCACAATAATAGTAGTAGTCCTGAGTTAGTCAGTGTTCAGTGCTGTAAATCGCTGAGGAACTCCCTCGACTGTCAATGGTCTCCATCATCATTTATACTGCAGACCTTCAATATAGGTACTTACGTAATCCATATAGGTGCAAAGTTCTCATCAATATAAATGAATTAAGTCCAAACACGAGGTAGTTACTGTGAACCGTTCAGGAGTTCCCTATAAGCTGTCCTTCGTTCTCATCATCAGACCCCTAATGGCAGTCACGACCTATTTGGTGCAAAGTGCTCACCAATAAGAAACACAAGATACTTAACTACTTCAAATAATCAAGGCGATCCTTCAACTGTCTTCCGGCTCCATCATCAGGTCAACTTCGACTATCGGCAAGTTGTAGCACTACTCGCCCCTACAATTTTCGAAAGTTCCCCTCGGTTTCCCTAGGTTTCCATCATCAGATCCCGACCTCATGAAAATGGGACCCTCTCGGGAGTATAACCTTTCAAACAAAACAAGAATTTTGGAAATTGGTTTATAAATGGCGGAGTAATCGGTGAATATACAAAAAAAAAACAATCAGTCGAAGTAAAAAGGAGGGGTTACTATGTTAGTACCCCCTCCTTTTTTGAAGTCAGTAAAAAGATAATTGAATGAATTGCACACAGCGCTACGTCAATCACGAAAACAGTACCTACTTGAAGCAATGTCAAGACAACTTTTCTCACAAATAGTTCACATTTAAAGTGCTTAGTAGTTTTTTATATTGAGTCAAAGGAAAGTGTTTATCAATTTCTTATTATTTGATAGTCAATGGAGTCCTAATTTATTTGTTCGAGTTACGGCTAGCTCGATCGATGACAATATCATGGAATTTCCCAAATGGTTTTGCAGTGTTGCCAACTTGTGTTTAGTGCAGTGCAAGTAGTACAACACATAACTTGTGTGTGGCTAGCGCTCAATTTGAAAGATGTGGTACAATTTCAAATTATTGTTGTTCATTTTGATACCAACATTTTTCGTGATAGATATTATACCTAGAGCTGAGGCGGAAATAGCCGTGCGCGCAGTTCGCGTCGGCTCGGTTTGCCCGCCAATGGCACCAGCCGAGCGGACAGATACTCGCTTTCCTTTTCTTACACATACAAAATACCGACTATTTATCTTTTTTCGTTTACTTCGTTAAGAAAAAAATAAAATTACTTGCAGTTTGGTACTAGTTTTGTAAACAAAACATTTTCTACATAGGTCTTGCTGTTGAAGTGGTGTAATTAGGATATAGGTACCTATTTGAGCGCGGGGCCCTCCAGTCCGCGGGGCCCGTAGCATTTGCTACTCTTGCTACGTGGCTAATCCGGCACTGCTCGTATCTTTTAAAAAAAAATCGAATGCTGTTCGTTAGTGTCGCTAAAACTCGAAAATGACTAGACCGTTTTGGATAATTTTATTCTTAACATATTCGTCGAAGTCCAGACAAGGTTTGAAAGGTCAGAACAACAGTTACGTATGGAGTGGTAAGTACGGAGTTTGCCGGGTCAGCTAGTCTTTATCTATAATATAAAAATGAATCGCAAAATGTGTTGGTAAGCGCATAACTCAAAAACGCCTGGACCAATTTTGCTAATTCTTTTTTTTTTGTATTTGTTATTATCAGGAGAAGGTTCTACTCAAAAGAAAATATTAGAAAAGTAGAGGGGAAGATTGGGAAAAACTGACAATATGATAGCGAAATAGTTGGACCCGTACGAAGCGGGGCGGGCCGCTAGTTTATTATATATTTTGTGGTTCGATGCTAGTGTGAGTATCAGACTCTTACTAAGAACCACCCTATACTTTCCTTTCCTCTGCACCGGGCTGCAGTTCATCATTGCGCCACCACAGACGGGGCCCTAAAGAGCTGATGTTCAGCCGGGGTTGCGGGGTAAGCGCAATGAGGCACCGCGAACTCGGCACAGAGCAGGAGAAGGAACAGGGGGGTTTTTAGTCAGTAAGAGTCTGACACTCCCTCCTGCCCGGCCCTGGGCGGGAGAAGTCATTTGATGATTTTCCCCTCACAAAAAAAAAAAAAAAAAACACTAAACCGTTTGGCTTCACACCAGTTGCACTTACTAGTCATAAGAAGCAGAATAAAAAAAATGGCAAAAACCCGGAACAGCGCTTAAAATAACACTGAACCTAAAAACCTAGGTATAGAGTTTAAATTGCAAAAGTAATAAACAAACATTAACCTGACATGGATCCGTATCGATTTTGAAATTAATAAATTACTATTATAAAGACCTAAATAAAAATTTGAAAGCTATGAACTAAACTTTGATTGATAGTTACCTAATATGATATGCAGTTGTGCATATGTATGTGTTATGCATTGTATTGTGTATAATATTTTTATGTTTTTTATTAGTCCAGTAAGTGGCCAAAAGACTTTCCCGCTCTCTGAAATAACACAGGCTAATATTTACACTACTGCCAAAAAAATAGTGTTATGTTTTTACCGGTTTTTTTTCATCAAATGACCTCTCCCGCCCAGGGTAAGGCGACAAAGAGTGGCAGACTCTTACTGACTAATAACCCCTCTGTTCCTTCTCCTGCTCTGGGCCGAGGCCGCGGTGAATTATTGTGCTTAACCCGCAACCCCGGCTATGTTTTTACCCTAGTATTTTAGGCTAGGCCTCTAGCTAGAAGCTGTTAGAACATGTCATAACATTATGTTAAGAAACTTAATCCAAACATGTTTTTTCAGAAATTACGATAATATCACAAATTGTATTGTGATATTACTGTATTTTTTTATTGTACAAGTATGAAATTATTTACACAGGCTATTGTACAGATGATTCATTCATTTCGGAATAGATTATATTGTCCCATCTTGCCTATAAAACTTAAAATATTTACATAATGAAAACTTGCTAAGTGTGATAGATGTTAAAAAAAAATTTTAAAATATAAACCTTTAGGTACCTAATGTTTATTAAGATGTATATCGAATGGTAGAAAATTAATGACAGTAGTGATAGGGCATTGTTATTATCTGTGCATTGGTTGTATAATTGTATGGGCAAGGACACATTTACCATTCCTATATAGGTAAAGTATGAAGGTATTATATCTATTTTTTTCAATAATCAACACTAGCTACTCCCTCGCTCTATATATGTTTATCGTAGTTTAATATTTTATAGTTTCATTTTTCATCTAAATAAATTAACAATACCTACAATGGAAAGTTTTTTTTTAATTCGAACTAGTAGTTTCTGAGATCAGCGCGTTCAAACAAGCTATTCTCTCTCTCTGTACATAAGTACATATACGTTCCTTTTACATTATGTTACGTATCTTTAATGACTTCAGATCTATACTATAATAAGGAATTAATTTAAATTTATATCTTAAGACAGTTGTCCATTTATTATTTTATGAGTTATTGTAACTTATATCCGTGTTGTAACAATTCCATAATATAGAAAAAAATCACTAAGGAATATCGCGTCGATATCTAACTTAGGTACCGAACTATCGAAATTACATAGGTACCTACCAAAGTTTGTTTGTACATCATAAGTACATCACTTTGCATTGTGTTACTCAAGACATTCTTGAATAAAAACACATTATTAAAACTGTAACTAGACAAAAATCTACTCAAGCGCCATCTTACATATTGACAGAAAGTTTGATTTTAAAAAGTCACGTGATCGAGAAGTGTGTTTACTTACACGAAGTAGAAAAACGTGTACCTATGTAAACACGGAGGCTTTACATGGAAAACTAAAGTATGCAATTATGCATAAATTATAATGAATTATAGTTACATGGTATAAAGTCATTACATGCCGTTAAACGCTTTATTACCACGCTTATTAGGTACTATTTCGAAGAACGGCTGTTTAAAAAAAATATGCTATCATTATTTCAATAGTAATATTCTATTATCAACTGCTTCTCAGCTAACATTAAATTAGTGTGAAGAATAAAAATGTGACGTACTTATAATAAAAAAATCAAAATTTTAAAAAGTACCCTAAAATATTAACCAAAATGCCTAGATGTCTAAGTAGGTATTTTTTTATATTACAAAGATTGCTTTTGTATACTTCATTGATAAAAAAAAATACCCGAAACAATGAAGCCAAGATTTCCAAGTATTTTTAAAATAATAAAAATGATTTTTGGTTTTCTGATTAGTTAAACTTGTTTCTTTGCTTGTCCATCAACAATGCATTCGTAAAATGCGAACTAAAAAAATGCAGTAAAATTAGGCCGTAATTATTACAATAAAAACTGAAGTTAAAGTTACTTAATATATTTTTATGAAACTCATTAATTCGTAGTTGCATGAAACAATAAAATGATTTCAAATTATTGAAATATGTAACTGTGTTGTTTTTCAGGTTTTTTAAAGGTATGATATTGCACCAACTAAATCGATGAAATTATTCACGCTTCCTTATTACTGATTACTATTTCCATTTGAAATTAACCGAGTAAAAAAAACAGCTATTCAGATACACTTAAATTAAGAAAAAATAAAATAAACAAATCCAAGAAAAAGCTAAAAAAAATTGCAACTTACACTTCGATAAAATCAGCTGCCACCCACTCAACATTTTGAAATAAGTAATTTCAAAAATTCAAAAATGGAACTTCACAAAAAAGGCACTAAGTATTAAGTTCAGATTTATTTCTCACTAGGTGCTAATAAAATCCAGAGGAACTATAAATCACAAGTGAAGAGTTCGCTTGTCGAGTCGCGGAATATGCGCGGGAGTGTTTCGTTGCACTGTACCGGCGCGCGCAACATACGGTGAGCAATTAGGCGGCCGCGGCTAGCTCGCCACTCTATATACTCCTGCGCATGTGGATCGCCAGGCCGACATAACTACATAACCATAATCAATTATCCTGTTGATGTAGATCTAATTTGTTTCTTTTTTTCGTCTTATTCACAATTGAGGAAATAGGCTCCAGATTAGAACATGAATTTTAATGTTTTTAATGGTTTTCAGACGTGTTTAAGTGAGATTGGGTAAATATTGTGTTGTTCAGTACTTTGATGTTTATTATTTTTATATTTTTACTTAATACCTATGTATTTACTAACAACTGCTGTTAGATATTATAGTATAATATTTGGGATGTAATTGTTTTTATCTTGCAAAAAAGAACAAACTATGTAGGTTACGCAGAGTCAAAAATTGTCCGTTGTTCTAAAAAAAAACGATTGATTTAATAATATTTTCTATGTCATGTCATGTAAGTATAAAAGTATTACACATAACATACGGCACGAGTTATAAAATTTTTAAAACCTGTCGGTTTACGTAAGCGTCAAACGGTCAAGTTCAGTAACACATGGAACATACGGCAGTACGAATCGTGGATCAGAATCGCAATTAAAGACCTAGATGCGTGGATAATACCCCATATCTAATACATTCACAGTCTATTTTAATTTATGAACAGTCTAGATAAACATTTAAGTACTTTCACTTTGATACACTTACGTCAAATCTGATGATAAGTATTCGTGACAGAGGAGCTATATGTGCGTTGCCGACCTTTTGGTTTTTAGGTATTTAATTTAATTGTTAGAGAATTGAGGATTTCTTTAACTATTTCAAAGATACAAATTTTGTTCTAAAGATTTTGGCTAAAGAGTAAAGAAGAATGAAATTGGCATATACCTATGAAGAATTTATTTAAGGTAGGCTAACAGGTGTCGCGGGTTCGATTAAATACGGAATAACATTTTGTGTGATCCACAAATTGTTGTTTCGGTCTAGTTTGTGTATGTGAATTTGTATGTTTGTAAACGCATCCACTACACAGGAGAAAATTCTAATTAAAATTTCGATTGAGTAATGTATCTCACGTGGCTTATGAAAGAATCTAGATACCTAGATACCGAATAGGATAAACATTGAATTAATAAATCATTTGATGAATTACTAAATAAAACACGGAGGCAAAAGTATGTCAGCATCAATTCTAATGTTATCTACGTAACAATTAATTAATAAAACATGTTTATTGCGATAGATGCGGGCATTAAGTAACTATGTACCTTCGTCCTGCGGAGTCCTGGTCAAGTACAAAGTACAGGTAAAGGACAGAAGGCTATTATAATAATGGTGAAGTATGAAAGAGTCATGCTAGGGTACGAATAGACCGCCTCGACCGGAGGCGGAGTGACAAACGGTGAAAAGCGAGGAATCCGAACTTATAATTTCTAATTTTAAGTGCGAAATCGCCCATCTGCCTTGAGCAAGCAAGCAGTAAGCGTGGTGACTAATGCTCAACCTTTCTGCGTTTGAGAAGAAGCCTTTGCTTAGTAATGGGTCCTTATAGGCTGATGATGATGATGATGTACCTTCGTCCTGTTGAATCCTGGTCCTGGCGTTTCGGCAACTGGCTGCCGCGCAACTTGTCGCGGGTTCGATTCCCGCACGGAGCACCTATTTGTGTAATTTACAATTTGTTTTTCTGGTCTGGGTATTGTGCATAGTATGAATGCTTGTAAACAAAGCCACGACACGGGAGAACATCATAGTTTGTAGTATATAACAAAAGCCAAATCCTCATTTTGGTAATGTAAGAAATGTGACCGGACTGCCTTATGTCTTTAAATATATATTAATTACATATTATTTAAATATTCTATATAAATATACCTACAATCTATCCTCGAGGGATAGATTGTAAGCGTCGCTCTAAAATAAAAGTTAAAAGTCTAGAATAATCGATAAGGAAAAACCTACTTAATTTACAAGTTAATAATTCCGAATAATTCAAACCTACTATGAATAGATAGATATTTGTTAATGAAGTCTTTAATCATTGCAAAACTTTCTTTTAATGTAATAACATTTTAATTCATAATAACAATTACCTATTAGCTAACCAAGAGGTTAATGACTTCTAGTTATCGGAACTTAATCTATTATAAGAGTATTGCACAAAATGAGATTATGCAATAAGTGCTTTTCAACAAATCACACAATCAATTAGAACTGTTTCGAGTGGGACTTTCTTTCTTCATCTCTATAGTGACACAATACTTATATATCGTTTACGCATGATAAATGGTTCCTTCATGTTAATATGTTGCTTTTCTGTTGTATTACACAATTTTGTAGAAATAATGCATATTTATAATACGTTTGAGAAACAATATCAGTACTTAGAGCACTAACTAACTAAACTAAAGGATTGTCCGATAACAAACAACCCATCGGCGTATTACATCGACAATACCTATTATGGCTTCTTAGTATTACAGAAAACTTTTAAATATGTATGTTTTGTGACTAATCTGTGAAAAAAAAATATTTTAACCGATTTAAAGAGCCTTTTTTTATAAGTTGTGGGTTATTAGGGATTTATTTAATAGGGATTGAGGGTGGGGGAGGATTGGGCCTCCGGTACCCTAACTTACACAACAAAACACAACGTATGTGTTGCTTCACGCCGGTTTTCTGTGAGGCCGTGGTGTCACTCCGGTCGAGCCGGTCCATTTGTGCCGAAGCATGACTCTCGAACACTTAAAATCCTTTTGTGATTTGAAGGACATTGCGTTTTCTGCAAACTCCGGTGTCCAGGGTGACTTTAAGGCAGTAAAAGTCTGACAGTCCCCTTTGTTTTCCTCTAGCGAAGGCCCTCGATGAGGAATGTCTATCCTACCATCAGTACATTTCCTTCTTTCAAAGTAAGGCGCTATTTCCACACTATGTACGTATACGACGTCCAGAAACAATTGGAGGCGTGTTTTTTTCGCATTGACGTTTCATCATTTAAAAACAATTGATGAATGTGTTTAAGTGGTTCATAATCTTAAATGTTCTTGTTTATTCGCCATTTCAATTGAAATGCGACCCCCTTATGAGTACGTCAATTTTGATTAGGTACTTGCGTAGACAAACTACGTAGCATTCAATCTTACTATTTGCGTTAGGCTTGACATTGAATTTATTTTCTCCTTTGCTGTGATTGTTTATTATTATTGGTGCGGCGTCATGTTCTTTATCGATACTTTAAGTGGTGACGACATTGTGGGTCATATGTGATGTGTCGGACGATATTGACACACCCCCAATGAGGCCTGCATTCATTGCCGTGTCAAGTTCGTAATCTAACTTATTATTGATTGTTTATTTCAACCTAGCTTTTTCCGATTAGGTATGTAGATAATTAACACAGTCGCTTTTTTGTCTCTATATTTGTGTATGCTTAAATCTTTAAATCTAAACAACGGATTTTGTCATGTGTTGCAATAGATGGAAAGATTGAAGAGAAATATAAATATGAAAAGAAATATAAATACAATAACATTAATTTAGTAGTAGAGAAAGTATCAGTACTGTTCCCGTGCGAAGCTGGAGCAGTTCGCTAGTTGTAATAAATTACACCCTAAAAAAAGTATACAATGTCCACTCCTATTTACCCTTTGTGGAGATCATAGTCATGCTTTTAATTTTATGATCATAGTCATGCATTAAAATCACAATGGACTAGGCAAATTATGTAGTTTAAATAAAAAATGTTGAAAAACAATACATTAATTAAATTCGTGGCATTTTTGCATTTCAGACGCACTTGCAACTACTCGAAAGTCGATGCAGTCAAAGGCTTATTTCCTTATAGCTTTCCGTTAGGAAAAACGGTATATTCTATGTGCATAACAGCTTTTAATATGAACAAACATTGTTAAAATAATCAAGTAGTTAGTGAAAATGTGTGAGTACACCCAACTAAGACATAAAGTACATCGTTAGGTCATCATATGTGGGAACATTCATTGACCATAACAACCATTCTTTGATACACAATACGAGTCTTGGAACAATATTCAATAATAAACCGTTTATCGGCATATAATCTAAAGAAACACACGCCGCTTTTATTACAAATACTAATGTGTGATAAAAGGGATTTTGTATAAAGAAGAATGTGGAGAATGTAATTCATTATTTAACTCCTGCTCTGCTGCGCGACATCTCTGCAAACGAGCAGACGGATTACCTAATGGTAACCAAATCAGCGCCGCCTAATGGACACCCGCAATAACGGAGGAGTTACGAGTGCGTTGCCGACCTATTGGGGATTAAGGTTTGGGAGATTTAAGGATCGGGGTAGGGGAAAGGATTGGGGCTCCAGTAACCTCACTTACACGGCGAAACATAACGCTGTCGTTGTTTCACGCCGGTATTCTGTGAAGCCATGGTATCACCCCGGTTAAGCTGACCCATTCGTGCCGAAGCATGGCTCTCCCATACTTATTTATACGTTCGACTATAAGGCATGCTTACACACACTTGGCACGTTGCACGGCGCGTTTTACCGTTCGTCATACATTGCTCATTATGTTCATATGTTTTGTTTTGCGTGGACGATAACGCAGCCTGCTTCTGCAATGTGCGTCGAAGACACGGCGAGCAGCGCGACGCCCCGCATGTGTGTAAACGAGGCTTTACTGTTACGTAAACTGAATGACTAAACTTAAAAAAATGCAAGTTATACGACATTAGTGATTCCTTTTTTAAAGTAATGGTTGTGTAATGCTTTCTTGATAATCTACACATGATGGATGAAATATACTATTTTATTAGAGGGCACTGCTAGCCAGAGAACTCCGTTGTGTGTTGGCAATATTCTTGTCCCATCCCGTTTGTTCCGCGAAATAGTTCAGGTTGGAAAATTCGCCACGTATGGCCAGGGCGGCCGCATGAAGCAGATTTTCAGTCTAAACCGTACAGAGTAATATTCTACATTGAATTTGTTATTGTAACAAATAAAATTATTATGATTTATCCACAATTTTAACAGTAAATGTAATTATTGTGAGTTATTCGTAGGACATAAGCATAT